CCTGCTGAGAGCTCAGCAGCATCCAGTAAATGCGCAGAATAATTGTTTCCTTTCTCTTGTATGTAAAACTCCCCTTAAAGCATCTCAGAATGAAATCTTATTTTCTGAGATCTCTTTTTCTGCAGGAGTCTCACTTAACTGACTCATTCCCACCCCAATTCTTTCTCTGTTTCTGCTGCTGCCTGCACAGTTATGATCTAACTTGGACATGGGTATTTGGTGTCTACCTACTCACCTTTCTCAACTGTACCCTCAGCTGAGGGCAAACCGACTCTCCAGTGTCTCAAGTTCATCTCAGTTCTGATCTCCCACCTTTAGAAAGGATGTCAGCCCCTCAAATGTCATCCTTTGAGTTTTGTCCTCTGTTCTGTTGCCCAAATCATTCAAGGAAATACTGAAACACCCTGGAGCCAGAATGTAGGGAAGATGATCCTCCCAGCTGGAAAAGTGAAGCCCTGATAACTACCCTGACTGTGAAACCTCCACCTGTGCAGCGCCTGCATGGTGACTTTGGCTGCTCGCTGCTCTGGAAGTCTGTGATCTAAGTATTTTCTTTCCTTATAAAGTGCTTACTAAAGTCAAGGTATTTTATATCTACAATTTCTTCCTCATCTACCAGGTCTGTTAGTCAAAGAAGGAAATTGGCCTGGTTTGACAGGATTTGTTCTTTGAAAATCCCTGCTGGTTGTTTCTTATCACATTATTGTCCTTTAGCTACTTCTAAATTGATTGTTTCATAATTGGTTCCAGTATCTTTCTAGGTATCACAGTTAGTCTGACTGGCCTGTAATTCCCCAGGTCCTCTTATAATAGTAATTTTCAGAGAAGAACTGCATTTAAGTTAAATAGATATTGAAAGACATTCCACTTTTCACCTGCTTATCTTTATTCATTGTCTAGTTTTGTTCCATCCCTTAAATTAAAAATGCGTTTCCCATAAGTACTTATTCCCCACTTGAGGCTTGGCAAAACTCAGCCCCAACTTCACCTCTTCTCTTGTGTTCCCATCCAAACCTTCTTGTTACTGACACTTTCCCAATTTCTCTCCTTGTTTTTTTTTTTAATCTTTCCATCTCTCTTTTATTTCTGATTTCTACAGAAAAAAAAATGTTGCAATTTTCTACAAAACATATTGCCTTGCAATATAAATACTCTAGTTTCCTGAGGGTTCTGAAGAGATGCTGAGCTTTGGGCAAGTCCTGGAAACATCTCAGAGCTCTGTCCTTAAGATGGAGACTGAGACCTTTACCAGTCTTGCAGGGACATGGCCTGTTCAGCCTACGGATTTACCCAGTACTGGCCACATTTTTCTGAGACCAGTAGGTGGCAGAGAGAAGACTCAAGCTCGGAGGCTTTCACACTGGGGATCAGACTGGTGGGTCGCTTCAGCTCTAGCATGTGCACAGAGACATTACTATAAAGCAGGTGTCTGCTAAGTCAGGTAGTCCCTAGCAGGTAAGAGCATTAGGCAAAGCTCCCAGTTTCTTGAAGGGAGGCGGAATATATCCAGTGTTTAGCTTCACGCGGGAGTGAAAGATCTGTGTGTTCAGCGCAAGAACAGGAAACGTGCCACTTTTCTAGCTAAGCAGATCAAGAGAAGATAACTTTGTTTGAGTGAGAGGTACCCTTATCCAGGGTTGTGCACTATATAATTGCACAATCTACCATCATGCATGAACAGAGCTGTTCAATAGCATGGCCCTGCCTTGCCCTGACATCATGTCTGCATTAGAAATCCTCTTGGAATGAAAAATCCCACATTTCCCAAGTGGCCTCGTAGTCTGTGAGCCAAAGGCTGAGTTGCAGTGGAGACTTTACAGTCTCAGCACTACCAGAAGATGGGAGCTCAGTAACCTGAATCAAAGCAGCTATTAAAGAATGAATGAAGCAGGGTTCTTCCTGAGGAAGAAACCGTTTCCAAAGCACAGGAGATGTTCATGCTTCTTTTGAAGGAAAGAAAAAAAATCCTAGTAACAGTGTTATTCTCACTAGTTGCAGCTATTTCCAGCACTGACCTTAGAGATGGAAGTGCTCAACACTTCTATAGGTTGCCTACTGAGAGCAGAAATACCTGGCCTGCTATGGAGGTTAGAAGTGTTGGTTGGTATCACTGCAGTACCATCAATGTTGCAGTTTTCTTACAAACCTTTGCTGAGCATGAGGTCCAGTCTTTCAGACCTTTGGCTTTATGGTCCCTACTCCCTTCTTTCACAGCCATTGTTTTCACATTATGAAAAGCAGCCCTTTCTCTACCAACCACTTCCCTGTGTAGTCCCATCACAAGAGGAATTCCTCACTGGTCATTTTTGTCTCTGTTTAGGCCAATTTCTACCCTCATGCAGGACAAGGTAGCTCTAGTAAGATGGAGAATCTGCCCTCGAGGTCAGTGGTGCCTGTTTCTTTAGGAATCCAGTTAAAGGGACTGTGTGATTTTCCCCAAAGCAGGGATGTCCAGTAAACTTGCTCTGCCTCATGTTAAAGGCCCTGCACATCAGTGACAAAAAAAAGAAAAGTCACACTGGTCATTCAGAAGAAGGCATCCTACACCCAGAGGTAGTGACTTGAATATCTTTTCTGCCTCGGCCACATCCTGCAAGCTGGATTTTTCTCCAGCTTTCTGGAAAGTGTTTGATATTTGGAATGGTGTTTGCAAATGGCAGGTAGGATAGTGTGATATATGCCTAAGTAGTTGGATGGACTAGAGCCATTTACTTACATGTGAAATTTGGGGTTTTGCTCATTTTATTAGAGAGATAGGGCCCAGAGAGAGTAATGCAGATTCAGTTAGACAGAGATAAGTTTTCTTCGATAGTTTCAGTCTGAGGAGAGACAGGCTATTTAACATCTGAACCATTTGGCCTCTGTGACACAGTAGCTTGCAGACACTCTTCAAAGGTATTAACTCCTGGTGGTATCATATGGTCTTCTATTTCTTAATGTTTCCCAAAGAGGTAGTAAAGGTGGCAATGACAGTCTGTGATTCCTGGAGGCTCCTGGCTGCCTAATTATAGTTCATTTCAGTAGTAAATAATAAGAAAATCTTTACTCTTCCTTACCATTCTTACTCTCTATATTGATCCAATTGTGCCTCTTATTCACTTCATGTTCTTGGGACTTCTTGGGACCTTAATCTCTTACTTTGTGTATCCACTTGCCAGGAAGTCTTTTCTGATGTTTTATGTAGCACCATCTGCAAAATATCATGTGGAGAGCTCTACTACTTCTCTGCTAAGAGAGCAATTTAGTCAGGTGTTGAAAATAAGGTATCTATTCCAACTGCATACACAGAGACTGATTTTTCTTTTGTGTCTCCATACTGACCTCTCTTGCAATCTGTGATTCTTTTCCATCCCTCACTTACCCTTAAACTCTTTTGAAATCCAATCTGAAAACCATCTTTTCTGCCTCCAGTTGCACCTCGGTCTTTAGGACTATGCAACTCAGCTTATAAAAGCTGTTTAGGAAGACAACTGATAAAACATGGCCATCAAATTGTTTTGGCACAAATGCCCAGAAACAGAGACCAGAGTCTGAAACTGTTGTTTTGAGACTACAAGATATGTTGGGGCCCTCATATAATAATATCTCTTAAAAGAACAGCTTTTTGAGAAACAGTGTACTCCCAATGCCACTTGGGAGAAACAGGTGAGTGGTGAGTCCGTGTAAAGGAGGAGAGCTACTTGCTTGTTCATCGCTCTATCCATATCTCATGCTTCCCAATAATCCCAGCTTCTCCAGAGCTGTGCACGTTCAGGGGAATTCATACTGCAAAGCTGCAGAGATGGTACCTCAGAATGGAGTTGTGTTCTTTGTCTCATGATCAAAACTCACTGGGAAGTGCTTGTAGTTGCAGTAGGATGCAGGAAGCATTACTGAGTGTTACTCTCCTGCTTTCCAGCATTTTTGCAGGTGGCTGGGGCTAGGGGTAGTGCCTGAGGTAACATTCCTGTTTGCTGGGCTGAAGGAATTTGGCTCTGCTCCTTAAGAAAACAGTTTATTTTAGACACTTTTGATGCATATGTCTGCAAAGAATGCATTTGGGGCAGAAAAAATAGGGCAGGAATAAGAAGACACCGAAAAGCAAGGCTAGAAAATTGGTATTTCTCAGCTTTTATTAATACTGAGTGATAATCTATTTCTTCCAGTACTCCTTTTTTTTTTCCCCCCCCACAGCAAAATATGCTAAAGAGCAGCCTGACATATTTGCTAGCACCAAATACCGATGCGGTATGTCAGTGAATGCCCGTGCTGGAAATCAGCAATATGACTAGCCTGCCAAAACCGAGTATAGGGTAAAAAATGAGTTTAATTAGTTCTGCCACCTCAAAGGTGTGGGCGCTCCCTTTTCACCTGTCACATATAAAGACCAGCAAGTGGAGACACATGTAGAGCTGTTCTGAACCATAGCAGAATTGCAGAGATGCTTCAGCCCCTGCTTAACTGTGCAAACTCCCATTTATGCATGCACTAAGTTTTTACTGCCTGTCGCCTATCCCTCTCCCCGCTCTGCTTTTTCATGTTCAATGCATTCTCCTCTCTATGTCTCTGTCTCTCTTTCTCTATTTTTTCTCTCTCTATTGTTCCCCACGTCACTAACTGTCACTCACTTCATAAAGCCGTCTGGCTCGGAGCTTAAATATTGCAGGGCAACTAAAACCCACCATCAGAGCCAATTCAGTCATATCTGCTCAGTCGTGCGACAAGATTGGGACTTTTAGGGTAGGGAAGAAGAGAGACAAAAGTTCACTCTCCACTGCAGAGTGCCAAGAGAGGAGGGGGACACATTTCTTCGGTGGAGCCTTTCCCAGTGGCAAGTTGCTTGCTCAACATCCTTAATCTGTAGTCTCTTTTGCTGGTAGTGTGCTCAGATAGCGATGTCTGGAGCTCCAGGGTGGGGGTTGCAGTAAGCCCACGTGAGATAAAATCTCAAGTCCATTGACTCACAGTGGACTTAGGCAGTTGGATGCTTCTTTCCTCACGGTGGGCAATTTTGGGGAAAAGGTGACTGCCTAAATTCATCACTTTCTCAATTTTGAGCCTTCAGGGGCTGACTGACTGCTGGCGGAGTCCTAGGCACTAGAATTTGTCATACTGCTCATCTCCAGTCCACCCCAAATTGTTATTTGCAGTTGAACCAGTTGAACAATCTTGTACCGTTTGCAGAAAATAGGGGGACTGGTGATGGCAGATTTCCGAAAGATGTGACTAGTTCAGAAGTGATCTCAAGAAGAGTTTAGCCAAATATAGCAAGCTGCAAGTGAGACTGTGATGGAATTAGGGAGCATTTCTCCTCTTCTGTTACAGTGAGGTTTTTGTTTGATGAGAAGGTTTATCATGTCTACAATGTCACCCAGCTGTGGATATCCATGTGCTTCACAAAGAAAGAAAGGGACTGAGCTAACTGCAGTGCCTGGAGGACAGTGCAGTTTGTATTGGGTATAGTTATGTTTTGTACAGAGTTGCACATGATTAGTAATTGTCTGGTGTACTTTGCTTCGTGAATTTACAGAAAGAGGATGTTTAAATCAGCTTAGATAATGTATGTAAACAGCATAACCTTCTGCTAGACTTGTTAATGTAAGTGCTGACATAAACATACTTTACAAAACTTTAATGACTGAGAAAGTAGCAATTTTCTTTGGTGATTGTATTATATGTTTGCTGCTTATGCATGCCAGGTGTGTGTGTGCAAGCTGAAGGGCTGTGTTCTGTCCTTCAGTTTTTAGCATAGGGGGCCCGGAGTTAAAATTTTACAGAGCTTAAAGACAAGAATAACAGGTCCATCTTGTTTTAGAAAAAGGGTATCACAGGGATTTTTGCTACAAAATTTGAGAAAATCCCCAGAGTCATAGAACTCTCTCAATATTTTGTGTATTTGTGTATGTGCGAATGTCTTCACATAGTAGTTGAAACAAATCGATATGCGTTGGTGTGTCATAACATATGGCATTGCAAATATATCCCAGTACTATCTGGAGGAGGAGGGAAGTTGAGATATTAAGATTTCCAAACTGATGACTGTACATTCTTGTTCCCAGCACTTGTGTAGGTGTGGCTGCCTATAGAAAACTATAGATGGAGGTAGTATCTAAGAGATGAACTTCTATCCTGTGAACAGCTATTTCATGAATAATGTTCCCTGTTTCGCTTGTTATTGTCCTCGAATTGATAACTGTAGACTGGTATAAAACTCTGTAATCCTCAGAAGTTTTGAAGTGCTGTACATTAGATCATTCCATATAGGTTTTTGTTTTATTTCCCTCAGTCATAGATTTTCTCTTACTCAAAATTATTCAGCGAGAAGCCGGGGATAAGCAGGATAAAGTCCTAGCCTAGGAATAATTTCTTAGCACGTAGAAATGATGAGGATTATAATGTTTTACCTGCAATACTGGACAATGTAGTTCTTTTTAGCTTTCCCATAGGATACCTGCAGCTGGCTTCCAGCTCAACAACAGCTTGAGACAGAAGCAGTGACATTTTACAGAGAGAAAATCATATTTTATGCCCCAACTAGAGACCTTTGTATCTCTTTCCAAGTTGGCTGCAGTGTAACCAAGGCACCTGATTTCTGGACAGGATACAAAAAAGAGTCCGAATAACATTAAATAATTATATCATACACTAATGCATATTATATAATGAAATTATTAAACATGATAGTTATTAAGCTTGTACAGCTTGTACAGTATTAGTAACAGCAATGATGTTGTTATTGCTATTCTTACCTAACAGCTATAATGATTTCTAACATAAAACCCTTATATACAACGTTTAGGGAATTTAAGTTTGTGTAGCTGCAACACGGACACCAATTTGAGATGATCTGTTTGTCTCGTGCAGTTCTGCACAAGAGCTCGGGTGCTTGAAAGCTTCCCTGTTTTTCTTCTAACCACATCAGCTGCATGCTGATAACGCTGAACTTCTGGCAAGTGTTTTTATATGTATAAAATCCAAGTAGTCTCACACAGCCGAGCCTAAAAGGGAACACAGAAGAATCCTACCTGAAAAAGGAGTTAAATCTACTCCCTGGCTGAAAAGTAATTTTCCATTTTGAGCCAGGAAGGAAAGAATTTAGAAAGCAGTTTGCTCTGGCTTCCCAGCACTTTTCCTGCTAATAAATCACAATGATCAGGTAAACAAGCAAGCAAACAGCCATCTGTTTTCAAGGCATATCAGGGAAATACTTGCTAGTTGAAAGCAACAACAGATAGCAATGGGGTAACCCCGAGTCTTTTTAATTTAGCATAATTTGTGGTCATTCTCTTTCTTTTCTCTTCCCTTAGACAGTGAGAAATGGGTGACTGGAGTTTCTTGGGGAACATTTTAGAGCAGGTGAATGAGCAATCCACGGTCATCGGGAGAGTCTGGCTCACAGTGCTCTTCATTTTCCGCATCCTGATCCTGGGAACGGCTGCCGAACTAGTGTGGGGAGATGAACAGTCAGACTTTGTGTGCAACACCCAGCAACCTGGTTGCGAGAACGTCTGCTATGATGAGGCCTTTCCCATCTCCCACATCCGACTCTGGGTCCTGCAGATCATTTTTGTATCCACACCTTCCCTGGTGTACTTTGGGCACGCGGTGCACCATGTCCGCATGGAGGAGAAAAGGAAGGAGAGGGAGGAAGCTGAGAGGCGCCAACAAGCCGAGGTGGATGAAGAGAAGCTGCCCCTAGCTCCAAACCAAAACAAAGGCAACAACCCCGATGCGACCAAGAAGTTTCGCCTGGAGGGGACCCTCCTGAGAACCTACATCTTGCACATCATTTTCAAAACCCTCTTTGAGGTGGGATTCATAGTAGGCCAGTACTTTCTGTACGGTTTCCGGATTCTCCCCCTCTACCGCTGCGGGCGGTGGCCCTGCCCCAATCTTGTGGACTGCTTTGTGTCCAGACCTACGGAGAAGACCATCTTTATTATGTTCATGCTGGTGGTGGCTGCTGTGTCCCTATTCCTTAACCTGGTGGAGATAAGTCACTTAATCATGAAAAGGATTCGGAGAGCTCTGAGAAGGCCAGCAGAGGAGCTGAGAGAGGTGCCAGAGAAACCCCTCCCTGCCATCACAGTTCCCTCCATCCCGAAGACCAAAGGCTACAAGCTGTTGGAGGAGGAGAAGCCAGTGTCCCACTATTTCCCGCTCACAGAAGTGGGAGTAGAGCCCAGTCCCCTGCCATCAGCCTTCAATGAGTTTGAGGAGAAGATCGGGATGGGGCCGTTGGAAGATCTCTCTAGGGCATTTGATGAAAGGCTACCATCCTACGCGCAAGCGAAGGAGCCAGAAGAGGAAAAGGTGAGAGCAGAGGAGGAGGAAGAGCAGGAAGAGGAGCAGCCGGCACCCCAGGAAGAGCCAGGGGTGAAGAAAGCAGAGGAGGAGGTGGTAGGCGATGAAGTGGAGGGGCCTTCAGCACCTGCCACTGATATGAGACCTCTCAGCAGGCTAAGTAAAGCCAGCAGCCGGGCCAGGTCAGACGATTTGACTGTATGAGGCTGCGGGATACGGGCAGTGCATGAAAAGGAAAAGGAGGAAAAGGAGAGGTAGAGAAAGAATCAAAATATGGTTTTAAGCGAAGTGCTAAAATGGTCATTTGAATATTATTTCCTCTTGAGATTCTCAGCTGAAAAGGTACTATCTTGACCTAACTGTGCCCTATTTGTCCACTTCAACAGGAATGTATTCCCTATTTCCAAATGCCAGCTCACTCCTTATGGTAACATCTACATTGTACATGTAACTGATGTCTTTTAAAAACTAAAGCGGCAATGAAACCCAAACGTCGCCACTGTGAACATACTTCCTGGAAGTTTATGATGTTCCATGTTTCTCTAGGGATGTGGGGAGGATTTGACACTTGAGCCAGCTATGGGGAAGGCTGACAGTCTGGGATTTCTTTTTCTGTTTTCGCCTATGGCTCATTGGGCAGATCTTCCCTTCATGCTGGCATGGAATTGCAGTTATTTAACTCGCAAAGCGAATTCTGTGTTTAGCATTACCACACTAAAATAATAAGCACTATTTGCCCCTTCTACTCAGAAAATTAAGGGCAAAAATGTCTCCAATTTGGGTCAGGTATCTTCCCTTTGTCAAAAGTATTTCTGTTCTTCAAGGAACACTGAGAGTGGACAAAGCTTATACTATCTCTCCCAAGATTTGGCAAATGCCCACAGATGGATTATTTGTCCTAGGAGGATCATCCAGTGGCCAACACTGGAAAGAATAAATCCAAGTGATATTTTTTACTTTTTGTTATGTGACTTAAAGATCTGGAACCTGATTTACCAAAGCAAGCCTGGAAAGGCTTCTCTGACAGGAGGCCCCAGCCTCCAAGCATGAAAGCAAACATGAGCCTCCAGGGCATGAACCTGACAAGCACTCAGTTCCTGGCACTCCCAGAGTTACAGGTACTCAGCAAATTTCAGGTACAGAGTCCTGAAGGCACCTGTGAACCTAAACCACAGGTCTGGATAACTATGTGACTCTTTAAACCGCTAAATAATAATAATAAAAGACAAATATGTCTTCCAAATTTGTAAAACCTAGTATGATAATAGGTTTTTTTTTTTTTTTCCCCAAATCCTTTGTTTTTAATCTGAAAGGCAGGAGCCAACCAGTGGTCCACTTTGCTATTAAATGCCAAATGTCTCTAATGAATAAAACAAGGCCTTTCAAAAGATCGTTTAGGTATTTTGTGCCAACAGGTCAGTACAGAAGTCTTAGAGCCTCAGCAAAGTTATTTGGATTACAAAAAAAAAAAAAAAAGAGGCAGAAACACGAGCAACCATTTTTAAAGGCATGTCTTGCAAATGTTTAAATATCTGTGGATTTCTAATTTTAGGGCTAAAGCAGCATTGTTTGTCTACAGTACAGCAATGCATTCAAAAGCTTCAAGTTAGCAGTTATGTCCCCCCCGGCAAAAACGAGCCTCACGCCAGAAAAGTGCAGGTATGCACTCTCATCTGCTCTGCTCTGCAGACCTCGGACCCTACCAGCTCAGCAAATTCCTTCTGCTGGGCTGCAGCCCATTCCATTGTTCCCAGGGCAGGCTCTAATCCAGGTCAAAAAGACAGAAATCTTTATCGTAAGGCATAAAACCTACCCTGCCATTAGCTAGCAAAGACCTCCTGCAGTCTTCCATTGTAGCAAGGCTGACTGGAAATCCACTGAAGTCAAAGGGCCTCCGAGACTGATTTCGGTGGGCTTGGTCTCAAACCGTAGGTCCGGCTGTCCTAAGTTCCAGCCTAGACACCCCTGAGGACAAGCAGTTCTGTCACTTATTGATCCAGCCAGTTTGGTGGACCTGTTTTCTGTGCCTTGTTACACAGCTACCTGTTCTGGCACAGAGGTGGCTGCGCTTTGCTGCCGAGTGAAGTGGCCTGTACATATGTAGAAAGTTTGTAGGGTGCATTGGGATTCTTCAGCATCATAGCAGTGCCATATATTTTTATACTATTAATCCTTTTGCTCCTCTTGGGCCTGTGTTTTTTCCCCAAGGTTTGCAGCCTGAGCTAATAATCTTTTCTCCCTTAACAAAAGTAGTTAAGTTGTTAGGAGAGACATCCTCATGAAGGAAGACTGGAAAGTACCTGCTCAGTTTTGAGAGGGAATGTGACAGGCGACATATGCAAAGGATTATGCAGAGATGATGGATTTTGGAGGCTATCAGTTATCCATTCTCATCATATAGCAAGGGATGACAGTGAACACAAATGCAAGGTGGGAAAACAACACACAAGTGGACTGGGAAAATAAAACTGAGGAAAGAGAGT